TGCAGCCCCGCCCCTTCCACCCCAAGCCCCGCCCCTTCTGGATTATTGCCCACCCCTACTCTACAGGAACATGTCCCCTCTTACCTTCATTACCATTAGTCTAAACATCTCCATGGAAAGACGAGCACATGCCGTTTCAACAGATTTATTTTGGCTTTTCCACCCTGCGTTCTAAGAGGGGAAGTTGTGCACCTGTTCTCTCCTGCCTACGCTGCTATGGATTAGGCCTACCGCGTTCCAGAGGACGTTACTTCTGCCCCTTGGGCTACTGTTCTTCATTGTTGGATTCCTCACTCACAGGGCACGTTGGCTCTTCGGTTTCATTCCTCCCTTCACGGACCGGCCCCGCTCTACGGGGATTCCTCCTCCTCGGGCGGCTGCGGTTCTGCGTCTGGCCCATCGCTCACCGCAGACGTGGCCCCCGTAGCTTCGGGCATCTCTCCAGCCTCATCATCGAGCAGCGATTCTTTCCGTTCGGGCTGCTTCCCTAGGGCATCTCTTTCATCGGCCCCGCAGAAGGGCGGCTCGGGGATTTCGATGAGATCGACTCCGGCTGCGTAACTGCTGGACTGGGGGTCTTCGTCTGTGGGCCATTGCTCTTCTTTCAGTTTCTGAATGCAGCTCTCGTTAGTTTGCTGGCTTTTGCTCTTCACTAACACGCCTGTTTTTTGGTTGAGCCAAGTCCCTTCCTCCTGAGAAACGACGCTGTAAATAGGCGGAGCTTCCTTGGGCAGCCCTGTGGACGAAGAGCGACTCAGCAGAGTTTGCTCACTCACAAGGCCAGCTGGCTCCTGGCTTTCTCTTCTCTCTGCGCTAGCCACCCCACTGCTGCGCCGGGACTCCTGCTCCATTCGCTGCTGGCTACTGCGCCTGGAGTCTTGGCCCAGGAGCTGGGGCACGTCCATGTCCGTTCCGTCGCCTTCCGCCCCCGTTGGCTCCGGGGTCTCTAACATGCCTTCCTCACCAAAGCCACTGCTGCGCCAGGACACTTGCTCCAGGGTCTTCTGGGATGTGGCGCTGAGCGTGCGAATGGAAGTGTGACTCGTCTGTTGGCTGTGGGTGGTTAGTATTTTGCCCGTTTTCCGATTGATCCAGATCCCTTCCTCGAGAGAAACGATGCTGTATGTCTGCTGTGCTTCGTCTGTCACGTCCACGTAGGACGTTCTGCTCTGCAGGGTCTCCTCGCTCTCCTCGCTCTCCAGCCGCTGGGCTTCCGTGTCTTTTGCTTTCTCGGCCTCAACGCTGTGCCAGGATTCCTGCCCCACGGGCTGCTGCAAGTCTGCGTCTGCTTCTTCACTCTTGGGGCTGCGTGCCTCTGGGGCCTGAGTGATCCCGCCTTTGGCCACGTCGCTGCTGCGCCGGGACTGGGGCTTTTGTGCAGTGCCGGTCACTTTCTGAATCCACGTGGCACTTGTCTGTTGGCTGTGGCTCGTCATGACTTTGCCTGTTCTTCTGTTGATCCAGCTCCCTCCCTCTAGAGACACGATGCTGTACGTCTGCTGAGCTTTCTCCACCCTCACCTTGGAGGGTTTCTGCTGGGGCTCCATGCTCTCAGGGCCAGCTGGCTTCTGCACCTCTGTTTCTGCTGTTTGCTCAATGTCCGTGCTGTGCTGGGACTCTCGGCCTAGTTGCTGCCGGCTGCTACGCCTGGACTCAGCTCCTTGGAGCTGTTCCACATCTGCGACCGCTTCATCGCTTCCCTGGACACTTGGCCCTTGGGGTTCCACCTTGCCTCCTCGAGAGGCACCGCTGCTTCGTCGGGATTGCAGCACTGAGGACGGTTGGGAGGTGACAGTAAATTTCTGAATCCACGTGTCACTTGTCTGTTGGCCGTTGCTCGTCATGACTTTGCCTGTTCTTCTGTTGATCCAGGTCCCTCCATCTAGAGACACGATGCTGTACGTCTGCTGGGCTTTCTCGATCACCACAATGGAGGATCTTCTGCTGCGTTGGGCTTCCTCAAGCACATGGTCAATTGCTTCCTGGCTGCTGCGTTGGAATTCTTCAACGGACGGGTGCTGGCTCCCGAGAAAAGATGAAACCTTCACTGGCTTCTGGCTGCTGCGCCGGGACTCCTGCCCCACTGGCTGCTGGCTGCTGCGACGGGACTCCTGCCCCACTGGCTGTTCCACTGGCTGCTGGCTGCTGCGACGGGATTCCTGCCCCACTGGCTGTTCCAGGCTGCTGGCTGCTGCGCCGGGACTCCTGCCCCACTGGCTGCTGGCTGCTGCGACGGGACTCCTGCCCCACTGGCTGTTCCACTGGCTGCTGGCTGCTGCGACGGGATTCCTGCCCCACTGGCTGTTCCA